TTTTTGTGATGGAAAATATTTCTCAGTTTTTTGTATAAGTTCTCTTTTAGTTTGTACATTGGTTACAACTGAATCCTTCTGTGTCACTGGTGCATCACCCTGTCCTTTTAAAATCTTCTCTGTATAGCCCATGCACTTCTTAATGTCTTTTGATTTCCTAGCATTCAGTTCTGATGCAGAAAGGGTACCATACCCACTGCTCATTGAAATACTATTTAAACACTCCTGATGCTCTGCAGATGCTTTTGGCAGATTTTCAGCTTCATTAGATTTAAGATGATTGACAACGCATCCAGTTTCTTCAAAGGTTTCAGAACACAACCCCATTTGACTTTCTAATGAAGAGAAATTGTTTGCAAGTTTGGCAGGAGAACTTTTGCTGTTGAAGAAATCCCATGAAGCATTACTGTTCTGCAACTTCACTAAATGTCTTATCTCATTCTGTATACACTAAAAAAAGAAAAGATGGATAGATAAAATGTTTTTACTATACAACTGTTCCACAAGTCCCGTTAGTATTTTGATGCATCTTACAATAATTCATAACAAAGGTAATGAACTTATTTGAAGTAATTCTTAGTTAAGAGTTTTCAATATATAGATATGCCTAAAGTAAAAATGGGTGTCCTATGTATTGAAAATATCTTAGTCTGAAGCAGTGAACAACTATCTTTAGCAGTTACAGGCAGTCCCCGGGTTACGTACAAAATAGGGACTGTAGGTTTGTTCTTAAGTTGAATCTGTATGTAAGTCGGAACTGGCATCCAGATTCAGCCGCTGCTGAAACTGACCAGCAGCGGCTGAATCAGGACGCCTGGGGCAGAGCAGCTGGGGTGCTGCCCCAGGCGTCCCCAAGTCAGCCGCTGCTGAAACTGACCAGCAGCGGCTGAATCAGGACGCCTGGGGCAGAGCAGCTGGGGTGCTGCCCCAGGCGTCCCCAAGTCAGCCGCTGCTGAAACTGACCAGCAGCGGCTGAATCAGGACGCCTGGGGCAGAGCAGCTGGGGTGCTGCCCCAGGCGTCCCCAAGTCAGCCGCTGCTGAAACTGACCAGCAGCGGCTGAATCAGGACGCCTGGGGCAGAGCAGCTGGGGTGCTGCCCCAGGCGTCCCCAAGTCAGCCGCTGCTGAAACTGACCAGCAGCGGCTGAATCAGGACGCCTGGGGCAGAGCAGCTGGGGTGCTGCCCCAGGCGTCCCCAAGTCAGCCGCTGCTGAAACTGACCAGCAGCGGCTGAATCTGGATGCCAGTTCCGACTTACATACAGATTCAACTTAAGAACAAACCTACAGTCCCTATTTTGTACGTAACCCGGGGACTGCCTGTACTTATAAATATAAAAACATGTATATGTGTATCCTATATGCCTCCAGAATTATCATGACATATCAGATAAATACAAAATTATGAATTATGTAATCATATATTTTAAAATAGGCAAACAATGTGTCTTAGGACAAAGAAGATGTTAGCTAAATTTAGGTCCAAAAGAAATTTATATCCAAGTTATACAGAGGGAGGGCTTTAACTGAAGTGAAAACTGCAATTCACCTTAAAATACAATAGGAATATTGTCCCTCTGTAAGATTATTTTCTATGGACTCTTTGCTTTAAAATATCCCCTTTATGAAATAAGCTAATATTATGCAGATCCTTTTGACACAAAGGTTTACATTTTGTATTGTTGCCTTATGATTGTACAGTACAACATTCTGTCACAGATATCAACACTAACTAGATTATCTATATGAATGTGTTAGAATTAGCAGAGTAGGAATTAAACATTTAATTTAGAAATGTTCATCTTGGCCTCTGGGGATAGAACAAAAAGCAATGGGCTTAAACTGCAGCAAGGGAGGTTTAGATTGGACATTAGGAAAAAGTTCCTAACTGTCAGGGTAGTCAGACACTGGAATAAATTGCCCAGGGAGGTTGTGGAATCTCCATCTGTGGAGATATTTAAGAGTAGGTTAGATAAATGTCTATCAGGGATGGTCTAGACAGTATTTGGTCCTGCCATGAGGGCAGGGGACTGGACTCGATGACCTCTCGAGGTCCCTTCCAGTCCTAGTATTCTATTAATTTTTAGTCTGGCTTGTATCCAAAAGAGCTGTTTCAGTTTGCTGATAAACAATACACCATTTACAATTGTTTTATAATTGCTGAGATACTGAGGCAGTTCCAAAAAGTAATCAAATGTTTTTGTCAAGTTCTGTGTTAGTACCTATTGACAGAATTCTTCAATGATTCATGAAAGATCCCCTACACTACTCCATTGAAGTCTGTGAGATTCTAAAGGCACACAAGGGTCCTCCATGCATGCAAAACAAGATCAGGGTTTACAGTTGTTTTCCAGAAAGATAACATACTAATCTCCCTGGGATACACATATCTCCCATACACTTTAATAAGTTTTCTGTGCACAGGAGTTAAATCTCCTTTAACGTTTCTTGACAAAACGACATGAGGTCAATTATGTATGAATACCAAAAAGAGAGCACAAATTAAAATATAAAACTAAAACTAGGGCTGTCAATTGAATTGCATTAACACCTGTGATTAACACAGGACAGGATTAACGTGTTTTTTTAACTTGTTAATAGCAGGAGTTAATGCTGTGCTGCCCCTCTGAAGTGCTTTAAAGGGGCAATGCATTAGGAGCCTGGGATCAGCTGGGGACTCCAGCTGATCCCCAGTTCTGCTGTGAGGGGCACTTCAAAGGGACTTTGCAACACAGTTGCAAATGACTCCACATCAACCAAAGTAATGGAAACTATTACATAATATTCAGATACTGGATTACCTTTTGGAAATGTGTGGACTTACAGTAAATATATATTTTCTGGGTTTTTCAAAGAGTTTAGTGGGTCACACTATCTGAAAGACACTCTGGGAGATTCACAGATGGTGTAAAACAAAACTATGACAATTTACACCTACAGAGAATCTGCCCCATTGAAATCCATACCGAATTTATGATCTTTATCCCTTCAGTTAAAATGTCACTGACAGCACAGCATATCAAATATCTCCAAGTGGTACTAAATATCAAAGAAGCACGTATAGGGATGTAAAAATCCCATTTAATTAGTCAACCAGTTAAACATTATGCTTAACTAGATAACCTATTAAACAGAGGTGACCAGAGGAGCAGCTCCAGCTCACCTGGGCTGGAGCAATTCCCCACCCCTCCACCCCCACGCACACCCAAAGCAAGCTGCACCAGCTTCCAATGGTTGAACATTCACATCCCTACTTGCCATACTATAATTTGTCTCCTTGTTAAAAATGTGTATTTTCTCCATATTTTTCCACCATACTAAAATCTGTTCTCAGTTAACCAGTACAAATCTTGTGTAACTTCATCTGTTGCATGATGGATTTAATTGATTTATTCCTAATTCAGAATGGTATAAATTGAGAAAACCATTAGGGTTCATTGCTTTTATATCCAAGTGTGGTCATTCACACAGATAGCCTCTGCTAATAACCACAAAGTGCAGAGTTAGACCCTCCTATCAGTAAAAGAAAGGCTGGCAAAGCCAACACAGTGTACTAGTCAATGACAGCAAGGGCAACAATTATAATTAATCTCTACAACATGAAGAAGGAAATACAAGAGTAGTGGACATGGGTGGGACAAAAGTATTCAGACTCAAAAAATAAAAAATTAGGGAGATAATAGGAGAAAGGATAGAAGAAAAGGACAGTACCTCTTGTTAATTTTATCACTTCAGGAACTGTTGCTTACTAATAGAGTAGAGGGCATCAGGAAAGGGAAGGGGAAAAACATTAATCAAAATGAAGATATTTTATATGTATTTAAAAATATTCTCACATGCATACACATGTATTGCTTTCTAGTCCAATTTTACTGAAAAATAAGAATGAGGGAGAACTGGAATCTTGACATCTTCAATAATTTTTCACTGTTAGAAAGGAAGGTTTTCCAAGTCACTTATTAGAATATAACAATGAATGTTGTATTATGAGCAAAACTCCACATAACTAAGACAATCATCTTTCATATTATGTTTTTTGATAAAGAGCAAATAATATTATTTTAAAATAAGAAAAGATGTATTTTAACATATAATGGCAGTTCTCTGTAAAAATCTAACTTGTAGTGTATTTGGTCAAAATATGTTGATTTGAGTTCTTTTCCATAAAAAGAGCTGCTTTGTTTTTCCCCTTCTAAAATATACGCTATTAAAGAAACATGTGGTGAGGAACTGAAGATGTGTATATTACAACATCAGCAATCCAATCATCTCCCCATGTATGTAAATGCAACTTCCATTGACTAAATTTACCCATAGGAATTAACCCATAAGAAATGTATTCACAGAACAGATTCAGCAATAGTAGATGATACAGCACTCTACAACTTCATAAATATATGAAAAAAAAAATCAAAATGTTAAAAAGCAGTCAACTTAAAACTGCTGTATGAACAAAAATTTGCTTACTTGGATTTGATGATGGAACTGCTCTTGCTGGGCAACTATCTGTTCTTGACACTGTTTCTCCACCAGTTTGAATAACTGTATCCAGCTAGTCTATTAAACCATAAAGTGCAATAATTAAAAATAATATTGCTTTCTTATTAACTTTTACTCTACCAACACAACAGGACCACAATCTCAGTTGAGGGCCTAGTTATAGCTGTAATACACATAATAAATAATAATAGCTGCTAGTAAAACAACTATACCAAAGGAAAAGAAGAGACTCAAAGCAAACACATACTCCAAATAAAAAATAAGACAACTCTTCTAGTTAATATTACATATCTAGGTTTTATTTAAAAAAATAAATGAAAAAATATTCACAACAAAATTAGATCATGTTACTCCCCTCTTTACATCTCTCCAATGTCTCCTCCTTTTCTATTATATCAAATATAGTCTTCACTTTCAATATATTTATTCATTCATACATTCTTCTGTAGGACAGTGAGGGGCAACACAGGCTACTGAGTGGGCTGTAAGACTGTTGTAACTAAGATGGTCTCCCCAAATTGGGAAGTTTTGCTAATCAATGCTTAAGTACAGGCAGTCCCCGGGTTACATGGATCCGACTTACATCGGATCCCTACGTACAAACGGGGTGAGGCAACCCCGCACTAGCTGCTTCCCCCCAGTAGACCAGGGAGACGCGAAGCTAGCGCCCCCCCAGCAGACCAGGGAAACGCAGAGCGGCTTTTCTCAGCAGACATCTCAGCTTGAGAATAAAGGACTGAGGGAAGTAAGGTGTGGGAGAATAAAACTGAGCTCTGAAGAAATGTTTGGCTAGAGTTTCCCCTACAATATGTACCAGTTCCGACTTACATACAAATTCAACTTAAGAACAAACCTACAGTCCCTATCTTGTACGTAACCCGGGGACTGCCTGTACCTAAAATGTGTGGGACGTGCGGAATGAACTAGAGCAGTGCTTTGATTGGATGCAGAGGGAGTGAATGACTCTCATAATGTGTGCTATCAGCACGCACCTCAATTCATGTGTACTTGCTTTAAGCGTGTCATTTTTGTAATACCTGTAAGAGAAAAAACTACATAGACAAAAACCAAAAGAATGTGGCACCCTGTGCATGAGCAAAAATTAACAAATGGCTTGATGGGTCACAGAAATCTGATGGTCTGCATGCAGCCTCTGGGCCATTTGTTGTCCATCACTGCAGTGGGGTGTACACTTTGGATCACTTATTTCCAAAGAGCATACTCTCTTGCCAAGAATGAAGCCTGTTTTACACTAAGACTGAGACAAGCAATGTCAGAAACCATGACATCACTCCAATGTATACAAGGCTTTCCTCAAGGTCTTCTACATCCAGCTTTTGCTGGATTAAATGCAAAAAGTTGGTGGGCTGGTACGTGCTGCAGCATATCAAGGACATGTCTAAGTCATCTGAGCCATTGTTGAGTCACTTGGGAAGATATTAGCAACTGGTTAGTCCAACTCCTGATAGAGTCATTCATAGTATGATGAAACCACCATCTCTCTTTAATACATCATTGCTATTTCAAGTAAAAAACATCCAGCTGACACATTTGCATCTCTATAAACTGGCCCATTATAGAGTCAGATGGAAAGACAGAAAATACTGCTGCTTGATAGATGCATTGTCACTGATGCCACAGAATATTCCAAAGAGAGTGTGTAACATTCATAATCTTGGATGTTTCTCGTCAGCAAAGCAACCTCCCTCCTTGGTGACAACAGAACTAAGATACTCAAATGAACTGATGAATTCAACTTCTTGTCCATTGATTATGGTGGCCAGAGGCAGAGATACATCACACACTTGCATAATTTTGGTTGTCTTCCCATTGACTAAAAGATCAAATTTACCTACTCATTCTGTAAATACATACAGGGCACTGGTGGGATTAAATTCATGAGAATGCAAGTACAGAATGTCATCTGCATATTCCAGGTCTATTATGCTGAAGTCACACAGTACCACCCCTCCATATGAAACTAGTGATGGCCTCCATCATTAAGAGATGCCTCTGTGGTATGCAAACAGTGTTCATTTTGATGGGTGGATGGATGGAGAGGATCTGACAGTCACACCACCATCTTGCAGGCAGAGACAAAGAAAGCAATGATCAAGAGAGTTAAAAGAATCTTTAATATTAATAAAAGCTATAGATCTCATCATTCCCATACTAAAACTCTGTCTTAATCACTTGTCTAACAGTAAAAATTGGTTCTGTTGTTATTAAGTCAGGCATAAACCTGGCTTGCTGTAGAGGGCACAGATTCCTTATGTGGGGCTTAACATGCTCAAGTAGAACCAGCATGAACAGTTTGCTTGCAGTGGAATACAAAGTTTTTACCACAATGAGCAGAATACACCAGACAATCACCTCTCCCTTTCCAAAATGGAAGAATAATTCCACAGTCCCAGTCATCATGTAGTTTCTCGTGAATCCATAAATTGTTGATAATATGTGTCAGCCACTCTAAGACGGAATCCCAAGCATGCTTGATCAACTACATCACAAATACCAGCAGCACAGTCATCCTTGGATTTACAGGCTTCACTTCAAACCTCCTTGATAACAGCAACTTCTATATGGAGGGGCAGTCACTCTTTGCATCTTCCTGAAGCTGCACATCCACAGTTCTAAGGGGGGTGGTGATTCAGAAGCTCATTAATGTGTTCTTTTCATCTACTCAAACATTCTGCCTTGGTATTCAGTACATTATCATATTCATCCTTAACAAATGAGGCTTTGTTCTGTGGACCAGCTTTTAAGGTGCACAATTCTTTATAGACATTCCTCAGTCGTTTTGGGCCAATGCAGCTTCCATCAATTGAGTCTCATTTGCCCAAAACATTTCATGGTCCTGATTTGAAGTTGAGTTATGCAAGGCACTGAGTATTCTTGGCAGTTCCCATTTAAGTGAGCACATGTTGTTTTCCTATGATGTCCTGGCTCTGTTGATGGATTTATTAATGTTTAGGGCTGGCATACCTTTTCCTCTACACTTTGTAGGATCATCAGTAATGGAAGGCTGGAAACAGTCCCATAAATTGTGGATTTCCATATATTCAAGGTTTTCATTTATAAGGATTAGAGTGTCAAATCATTTGCAGATTTCAACCTGGTATTTCAGGGTGAGTATGTTCCGAACAGCAAACATACATTTTATATGCAATCCCAAAATCCTGAGCCCTATCATTTGATGAGAGGGTTGGTTCCAGTTAGATTATTATTCATCTAAAGTTCATACCATCAAAAACTTTTTCAAAGCCCTTTACCATATATACTTACGCTGGCTACTCTCTCATATTCACTATCAAGATATTGACTTCTGCTTAATGGTCTTTGGGAATTTATGATAAAAAGTCCAGTAATAAAACTCTGAAAACTTTTCAAAAAAGCTATCTTTTTAAATCCAGAACCTATGGGACCTACGTGGTGCCGGATTATCAAATATGCCGGACTATCAGGAGGTACTATAAGCTGCTTATATATATATACTGTATACAGTATATACTGTATATAAACTGTTTTTAACCCTTTTTATTGTACATACTGTATACAGTATACTGTAATGTTTTAGTTTTTTTAACCTTCTTTACCCTTTTCGCTCAGTTCAGCTGCTGCCACTGCTGCCTTGTGACTCGTTTTTTGCCGAAGCTCACTTACTAGGCTCTTGCCATTTTGATGCCGGACTATCAGGAGTGCCGTACAATTGGATGCCGGACTATTGGAGGTTTACTATATTTCAAAACATGTCCACCACTATGTCAGTAACATTATTACAGATTTTAAAAGACCAAAATAAATGCAAGTTAATAAAATGATGTAAAAATCTTTTAAAACATTAAGTGACTTCAAATTTTTAAATAGCACAGGTAAATTTGGTTTTGTTTACTCTATCTTACTTTTACACTGACATTTTAACCTAGAATGAATTAAAATGCTCTGGCACATACTGAAGAATGTAATCCATACTGATGCCGCAATTCAAACACATTAATCATTTCTTGAAAATAAAACTAATGATTCATTCTAGTACTTTTCTGAGACTTTGGTTCTGACTCTGATTTCACAGGTCCTTACAGTACAAGTAACTCTGATATCTTCAGTGCAATTACATTGGTATAAGGCTTCATGTAGCATTTCAATGCTTTTAAAGTTTTAAAAATTAGACTCAAAATTATTGCAACTTTTTAAAAATGTCTATTACATTTCAAAACTATTTATGTCTGTATTTTATATGTACAGGACATACAAGCTAAGTTAGGATTGCAATAAGACATACCCACGTAACTGATGACACCAGAATATATTACATTCTGTTGTGTCACAACAGTTCCCTAAATAAGTGTGAATATACAAAATATCATGTCATTTCTAAATTATAACACCATTAGACCTGTCCTCCATACTGCAATCTTTTTATATTAATACAATCTTTAAAAATAGCAATGTGCATCAGATACCTCACAGTTCTTCAAAATTTCTGAGTCTGTCCTTCCACTCTTTTGTATATCTTGCATAAAGGAAGCCAGTACTTCAACAGAACCAGGACTTAAGGAGGGGCTGATCTTCCCTGAGAAATTGGAAACTCCATTCGGATTGGATAAGGGACTATTTCTGTTGAAACATGAAGAAAAACCATTTGAATTATTTATTGTGCCAAATGTTGTTCAACACAGTACTCAAAATAATACCCTAGTAATACAAAAGCCTTTCATATTGAATTCTCATTCTGAAACCCAATATACTGAAAATATACTGTTCTGATCGCATGAATAAAATTATTTAAGAGAATTTAAGATTATTCATCTTAAACATGTTGTAATAACTTATAGAATCTGTCTTTGTATATTTTATTAATTCTATTTGAAATTATGAACTTTATGCATATTTAAGTACCTATGACTATGATCTTTGCTATATTCTTGCTTCATATTTCTTATTCGAAGGAGAAACAGAGAGTTGACTTAGCTTCTGTCTCTGAGGGTATATCTACACAGCAGAGTTATTTCAGAATAACATCCATTATTCCAGAATAACATTATGCGCTGTCTACACAAGAAGTCCGTTATATCAAAATAAATTAGAAATAACAGGCTTCTTACTCTGATTTCCTGTAAACTTCAATGAATGAGGATTAAAGCAATCAGCAGAATAGCAATTTATTTCAAAATAAGTGCTGTTTAGACAGCGCCAAATTTCAAAATAAGCTATTTCGAAATAAGCTAAGCAATTTATGTAGCTCAAATTGTGTAGCTTATTTCAAAGTCACGCTACTGTGTAGACATACTCAGAGAGGACAGTGATTAAAGACCATCAACAAAAGCAAACAGAACAATGAAATGACTGCATCCTAGGTGAAACCAGTTTTCTCCTGCTTGTCTGCAGAGAGTAAGGGTTTTAAGGAGTGGAAAATCCCTACTAGGGAACAGAAACAAAGATGTCAGAGCAGGGGTTAAAAACAAAAATGGAGAACCTGGAATGATTCAAAGGGGCAGGTTTCTGATCAGACAATGCTAAGAGAAGTAGCTGCCAGGACAGAAAGAAAATTAAGAAGAGAAGCCTGACCTAAAGGAGAAAACTCCCAGATATGGGACTTGAGTCCCTGAAAGGATACTGCAAAAACAAGTAGGAGTTCTGTGGCACCTTAAAGATTAACAGGTATATTTGGATAAACACTTTTGTAGGCAAAGACCCACTTCATTACATGGTCTGGGACAAGTGGGTCTTTGCCCACAAAAGCTTATGCCCTAATAAATTTGTGTCTTTAGGGTGCCGCAGACTCCTTGTTTTGTTTCATCACAATCCTTGATTTTATTAACTATTTGCTAGATTCACTGACCCAGATTCAGCTTCCCAGCACAATGGAGTTGTCTGTTTAAGTGGACAGCTTTCTTGTAATTTGCACTGTACTGTTGCAGTACAGTTGTCCTGAAGAATCCTATTTTTTATCAGGATGTTTACAATTCCTTTTCTTTGCTATGATGAATGTAAAGAAAAAGAAAATAACTAGTGCCTCCTTCTGCATTGATAGATATTATCAGAGAACATCATGATTACAGAATTTTTCATTTTTCCTTCTTGTCTATGTAAAGATGTATCTAGAAATAGAAAAAGAATTAGCAACAGTCAACAGGTGTGTTTTTATAGCTTTATTTAATAACACGCTATGGAGATAAATTGGTGTTCTTGGATCAACCTTTATTGTTTCACATCTTTGGCATTTGTAACTGATAGTACTTGAGTGACAAAATAAAAGGGTGTTTAGTTTTAATCTAATGACCACTCCATCTTCTGAAGAAATGAGATTTTGTGGCTTTCAATAGTAATACTCCTACCACAATACACTAAAGAAATGGAATTAACTCTATTCATTTCTCAATTTCAGAAAACACATTTGTATTACAAAAGGCTGTTCAAGGTCACAATTGTTGTTCACACTACACTGATGATACCAAATGATCCTGGATTGAATGGACCTAATCCAAATCTCATGGAAGTCAATGGAAACAGTCACATTGACTTCACTGGGCTTTTAAAAAGCCCAAAGCACACAAGAGGAAAGTTCAACTCTGAAAAGCAGATAGAGACAAGTGGGAAAGACAAGAAAGATGCATAATAATAATAATAAATAAATGCAAACTATGATGCTTCCTCCTACATAGCAGTATAAGTTTAGGTAGATGAATAAAATTAATATTTTAAGAAAATTTTCTATTAACAGTGGTCTTATATTAATTCCATTTGACATATGAAAGAAGAAATTGCCTACAATATTATATCTGAATAGAAGTAGTCTATATACCTGTTTACATACAGATTTAATAATACAGCAGTGTTCTCCAGAGATTAAAAATAATAAGTACCACAACTACTGAGGTGATATTTCACACTTGTACTCTGGACTTTTGTCACCTTTTTTATTGTCCCAACAGAAGCTAACAAAACCACATGATAATTTACAGTTTCCTGAAGTGAAACAAGACAGTCACTTCAAATGAGATGAGGCACTATCCAAACAGCAGGAGACAAAACAGAGCTATACTTCAACACGTATTGCCTATTTTTAAAATTATAGATCTGCTTATACTTTACATTGTTACCTGTTAGTATTCAAGTTACAGCCAGAGTTGTAGGAACTTCTGATATCAGATTCTATAGAAGACTGGGAGACTTCTTGCACAGCTTTCACCAAGTCCAAATTTTCCATATTTTATCCCCAAGAAAGATATTGTTGTTATCCTTTGAAAATATATAATCATCATACTCTCATTTCAAAAAATTTTTATTTTGTTGTCTGATGAAACAATCTGATTGATCTTTAGATGTTCATCATCTAAGCACATTTTCAGTCATAACATTCATACGCATGAACATCCTAAGAAAGCTCCAATACAGATTCTGAAAAAATAAGTTCTCATTCATACTTCAAAGCCACTAGGTGTAAATGTTTTCACAATTGACTCAACTAGAATTTAACAAAATATAGTCTAAAAACAAATCTACATTATCAGCAAGGCAGTGGTGAAAACTGCTAAATAATCATATGGAAAGTTATGATCAAGTCTTCAGATCTACTCAAGCCATGCTCAGCACAGGACCATAGGGGAGTTGAGCACAAAGATGGCTCTAAGACATCTTTACATATTCCCTGGCACTGAAAACAGTTGAGGATGGATGTGGTCCCTAGTGCAAGTTAAGGCATTCTTGAAACTAACTTCTGCTGACTGGTCAAAGTCCCCAAAAAGCAGATTCACCAGCACTCCAATATAGTACATTTGTCCTGGCGTAACCCCAATGCCAGAAGTTGCAAGGAAGCTATGGTTCAGCCAGAAACATATTCACAGAGGAATTCTCGGATGATCAATTAGGAACCGTACTAGACCATACTAGGGACCAGAGTTTGGAAGTGTTCTACAGTAGCACCTCAGAGTTACAGACACCTCAGGAATGGAGACTGACTCTGAAATGTTTATTACTCTGAACAAAGGATAGTTCAAGCTCCAGATGCAGCAGCTGACACTCCATGGCATGATTCATCAGCAGTGCAGTTCCCTATTCAGCACAGGCATGAGTCTGCAAGTTTGTTCCCCACCAGGCAGGAGTATGTGTATGTGTGTTAAAACAATGTGTTCCCCAGCCAGGGTGCGACAGAAGTGGTAAAAAGCAGCACATCTCCCTCCTGGCCAGAGAAGGTAAAAACAGCACATCCCCCTCCCAGCTGGAGACAGGGGGAAAAACTGCACAGACCCCTGCCTGTTCTTTGGGCTGGCAACCCGAGGGTCTGGCTGTAAGTGACTGTCCCATAAGTGGAGGTGGGTACAAGTAGCTCAGATGTGCCTACCTTTAAAATGCAACATAGCCACAGTGCAGTACTTGCTTCTTTTTTTTCCTGTCTCAACTGCTGCCTGATTGGTTACTTCCAGTTTCACATGTCAGGTTGACCAGTCAATCTGTATTTCTGGTGTTCATGTCTCTGAGATTCTACTGTAGTCAGATTAATGCTGACAAAACCCTATCCCTGTACAATAGTTAATGTAATGGTTTTGCTTGTATTCATTTTCCAATTATTCCCACAAAATATTTTAAAATATTCTTTGAATATTGTATAGTGATTCACTCAAAAAGTATTCAATATTTTCAACAAGATTTCTAAGTACAAAATGTATCCAAACATGAATTTAACATTACAGCTAATTAAAAGTATATTTTTAAATATTATATGACAATAAAATCAGATTGTATATGACACTACAAAAATAAAACTCTAAATCCAGCATGATTTTAATTTAGCATGGGAATGGCCAAGTTTTCCATGGTCCCATAAAGTTTGTTTATGGTCACCAGTCCTGGTTCTCAGTGTTCTGTGCTGTTATTAAGCTCTAAATTACCCCAAATGTCTTCTAACAGCCCAGGAAACAGTGGAAGCGTTGTTAATGCTGCTAGGACAGTGTTTTCCAAATGGTGTTCCATGGAACCCTGGGGTTCCGCGAAGTGAAAATAAGGGTTTTGCAAGAAAATTCCATTACAATAACATTTTAGGATTAAAAAATAATATTTAAACATTTATTAATTTTATTGAAAACAATTGTCATTTGTGTTTGCCACAATGAGTGTCCATGTACAATGCCAGCTTAGCCAAAGAATGGGAATGATGATGTCACTACTCAGCAATGTGCTGTGACTGATACGATTGCCTGTTATATACCATTGTAAATCCCAGTACTCACTCTCAGGGAGTATGGATCACGTGAGTGACTGAATGCAAACATACTATCACCACATCAGTCAAAGTCTACTTTTTCAGCTCCATATATAAGACTGTTATTAGGGGTTCTGCAAAATTCTTACAAGTTTAAAAGGGTTCCGTGGCCAAATAAAATGGAAAAACATTGTGCTAGACAATACTGACCTCCTATGGTCCTGCAAAATCTCTGGTTCGGCACCAGTCAAGTAACGAAGGTGTTAGATCAGAGACGTGCAACCGGTAGTACCATACTAGTTACAATACAATGGTATTCAAAAATCAGTTGTCAAGCACAATTTTGCTTTGCATAGATAAGACCTTTATCCTTTCTATACAACAAAAACAACTGAATCACTTAACTTAGTTACAGCATGATTAAACCATATAGTATGGAAGGGATGAAACTGAGATATAAGAGGACTGTCTAGGGTTGGGCATCTGATCATTCCAAAAATAACTGATCAGTTGATTAGTCAAATAATGTAAAAATTGTCCAGTATTGTGAAACACTAATTAGAACATTAACAATGGTAACAAAAAAAAAGAAGTCTGACTTTAGTGTCCAGTAGATTTTAGATACTTACACCCAAGTATAAAAAAAAATACTCAACTGAGTTATTTTAACTCAGAAAAATACAAAACAATTAAGTTCTGAAAAAAATGACAGCACAATTATCTTTTACAACAATATGAGGTTCACATTTAAATATAAACATTACTCAGGTCTTAAATGGTACAAAAGAAGAAAACCATGAAACTAAACAAAAATACCCCACATAAATATAAAAGAAAAAAGCAAATTTTAAATGCACTCATACAAGGCAGGCAGCAGGCCAACTCTTCAAGCAGCTTAATGTCTGTGCATCAGTTTTGTGTTAAGAGAGAAGGTTTAATTACTCTCACTTCTGAGTTAGTATATTTGTCTAGTTAGTTTATATACTAAGAACTTCAGGACACGGGGACATATCTTTTAATTTGTTTAATGTGCTTTGTAAACTGCCATGTACACTGATAGTATGTATATTATTGTATTTTAGACTAAGGATGTTCAGGACTAGTTGACTAATCAACCGTCCAATAAGCCAATGCTTATCAGATAGTCGGTCAACTAGTTGACTAGTCAATTTCCCCCCCCCCCCCTCCTCACATTG